TGGTGGTGGTGGTGGTGGTGGTGGTGGTGGTAGTGGTAGTGGTAGTGGTAGTGGTAGTGGTAGTAGTAGTTCTTTATTTAATGTGGCACCACACTTAGCTACAAGCTACTTTCCAGGAAGCCCACAACAAAATATTCAATAAAAAATTACAACCTACATCAACAATTATGTACATTAAGTGAAATATTATTACAAAAAGGATATCGCAAATTCAAATATATATTTCTATACATGTGTAGTAAAACTTTGCGCGTATAGCATCTGGTAGCGCGTTCCAAGTCTTAGAAGTAAAATAACGAAATGACTTAAGACCATGTTTGGTACTGTTAACCTTAGGTAAGGAAAGCATGTTAGTGCCTCTTAAATTGTAATCAGTCCACCTTGGTTTAACTAAGTCAGCAATAGTTCTGGGAGCCTTATATAGAAAGCAGTTATTGACCGTTAGCAACATGTCTTGAATCATACGACTCTTCAATGTCGTATGCAAGCCGATACAATCGAGCAAGTCTTCATATGAAATACCCTTATCTTTATATACATATCTAACCGCACGTTGATTTACCCTTTCCATTTTCTTTGTATTCCTATTTTGTAAGAGAGGTATTTTGTAAGAATGTAAGAGATCAGTTGTATTCCTATTTTGTAAGAGATGTATTTTATCTCTGGGTTCAAAGAGGGGGGGGGGGAGGTTTCAAATCAAACAAAATTGTAAATTTAGCGGGCTTTACCTGGAAATATGACACATTAAATAGACGAATGATAGCGCGCGCTGTAACTGAGAGATGTAATAAAGTCACTTCAACGAAGTAAGCACTTTTCTCCTCACGTTTTCGCGTATACGCGAATTTTTCTTCTTTACACCAAAACCGTCGCATGAATAATAATAAAATCTTTTAATTTATAAAGTTCTATACATAAAAAAATACAGTACCTGTGTATTTACTGAGGGCAGTGGCTGATTGAAGCACAGCCTTTCTGTATTCTGGATGAAGATGCGAGAGAGTAGCAGCAGGTTTTCCTTTGAGTATCACGTGATTTGTAGACGGTTTCTCTGATATGAGACTCGAACAGACCCAATGAGAGTAGCCAATCCTACCTTCGACCTGAAAAGAGAAAATGTTATTTACTTATCAAAATTTTAGAGGGAATTAGCACAAAGTACACATTGAAAAACAAACTTAATAAACCCCTCAAAGAGAGAAAACCTCAAGTTGACCATATTTTACAAACAACAGAGTGACTGTGTCGAATGTACATCAGCCCGGCCTTCAGAGGTTCAAGTTCTTCACGGAAAATTGAATATAATTTTTAACGATTTTAAGTTATCTCAGTGAAAGACACACAAAATTAGTTTTTAAAAAAGGCAACAAACGACAAGATTGCTGGGGATGGAGAAAACTTGCAACTAAGTTTTTCAAGAAGCCTGACATAGCAATTTCGATAGTGTTTGGAAATTATTTCCTCTAAAACCATTCGGCGAAACTTCATGGGGGTAATTAGCCTGAATTCGATTTTAGAGTCAACCTTAAGTGATTCTCTTAAGAGGTACCGTATTCCTTACGTGTGAGCCCAGTTCCGTTGTGTGTCGAAACAGATCTATAGCCTCTTCACTTCCAATAATCTCAGCAATAGTTGCCTTCATATTAAAACAAAAAATAGCAACTTACACCCAATATAAGCATCACCGAAACAAAGAGACGCTACCCCCACACTTAAGACTGAAAATAAGAATCACTAAATATGAACTATGCCGTAAGGCGAAATCCAAACACGAGAGCCTGCTGGCACGCTAAACAGACGACGGTTAATATCTATCATTAGAAATTTTTGTGTGTAGTATCGCTGAGTATTTTACGAGTTGTGCCGTATTTTGACGAGTCCGTAAGGCGAGTCAAATTACAAACAACGAGTAAAAATACAAACCAATACTACACAACAAAACTTCTGAATAGATTCTTTATTATTCAACTGCTTTTTTTTTTCTGCCTAGCCGCGTTTCTGCTCATTTCTCATGGGGCGGGAAAAGTAAAGCGGATAGAGAAGAGTAGCGCAGTCTACACGTTAAACAAGTTTTTTGTACGGAACAAATTAGCCAACTGTACATATCACAAGACACTTGTGCTCTCATTGTACCACTCATTGTACGTTTCATTCTGTACACTACATGCGGCTTGTTTCCGAAGGAAGTTTATGTCCACACTAAGCACAAAAACCTTTGGCTATTTTCGTTTACCCAAGGTATAAGGTACCCTTTGATAACAGCTGATACCAACAGGTTTATTATGGTTAAATGTGTAATGATGATGATAATGACGATAATTATCATTATTAATAATATCCTATACTAATAATTACCTGTCCAATCCACGCTGCGGTGTAAGACGGATCTAAAGCTTGAGAATTCTTGAATGCCTCATGAGCAAGCTGTAAAGAACTGTGAGAAAAAAGTGTTTTGCCCAATAACGCAACACAGTGACCTGGCCAGGTCTCAAACCCAGACCTCTCCACCCGGAGTCAACCGCTCTGACAATCATGCCCTCGTGTTTTCCCACGATACACTTGGGTAACATAGAAAGAAAGTTTTCTTATACAACTTACACCACTCTCTCAACCAAATCGATACAAAACTGGAATCAAGCGCGACTTGCTGACTCGCGCTTTTTTCGCGCATGAAATTGTTGAAGCTCTCCGAACACAATTCAACACAGTCGATTCCTGATATTTGGAACCCTCGCAAACTCAAACCTCGCACTCACTTGAACCCCAATTGATTACCCCTTGATTACCGCCACATCGTACCATCCATTTCTCGAACCACCCGGTCACTCAAAGCAACTTTCTTTTGCCTCATATACACTATTTCCTCTTCTTGAATTTATCAAAATTAAGACTGCTTTCCTGCAGAGACCTGTGCGACATCTTCTCTTTCACATCTCCATCTAAAATCTTTGGGGAAAAGAAAATAATAAGAATAAGTAGAGCTCTAAATTGAGAAACAAAAAATGTCAAAAAAATGCTTCTGAATTTAAACAAAATACTCCTTTTCAAAGATGTTGGGAACTGAAAAATAAAAAGCTTCTTCAATCGATTATCGCCTAAGTGTTTCAGCTCTCTCAATGGTTAAACATTATATCACTACCTGGATAAACGACACGGTAAAACAAAAGAGCTTGAAAGTAACTACACATGTTCTTCCATCTGTATTACTGGTTACATTTTTTGCTCTCAGTTCTCATTGGTTGATTATGATGTAACACTCGCTCAGTGGAGCTCCTTACGGTTGACCGTCATTAGTTTTATCCAAGGACACTCTACTGAACACCTCGTTATGTAACGCGCATTCAGGCGTTCTTTTTTTTCCTGGAGCGTGATAGCGTAGCAAGGCAGAACATCGGGCTCCCTGAAAAAAAAAACAAAGAACACCTGATCAAAGGTCACACTCTAATAGACCCACCTTGGCTTGCTGAAAGCAGTTGAATCCCAAGTCACTCCACAGGCTTCCACAATCAGGCTGCAGTTTCAATGCTCTTCCATAAGCACTACAGGAAGGAAAACATACAACATTCACGAGACGTTAAATATTATAAGAGACTGTGAAGAAACGAAGAAAACTCGTTCAAAATTAGTCAAAACTAGGTTTATCTACGAGTTGGGTCACGGCAAAAGATTACTGTTTATAATCAATCTCTTGGTTAGGGTGAGTTATGACGAGACGACTAAAAAAAGTTATTTACTTCAAACAGCCCACTTATAAAGAATTCTCAAGGTTCATCGATTGACGAAAACCATCTCCTAACTGAAATATAATTCTATTTGATTTATTGGCTTTAGGCGTCTCTGGGAAATGTTGTTTGTAATAAAATCAGCTCTTACCTTGATCCTAAAGCAAGGAGCTGTTTCTTATCCAGATCACTGTGTTCTCCCTGAATGTACTTCTTAAGGTTGTCTGGAATTGTTCCTCTTCAAGATACACAAACAGACACACATTCAGACATAAGCCAGAGAAGTCCTAAACATTCAACTCTAAAATTATGAACAGTAGCAGCCGCGGTAAGCGGAAGTTATTCTGGCTTATGACTTAAGAACAACGGAATAAAAATCCCAAGGAGACGATGAGAACTCAAAGTAAAAACAAGCAAAATGCCCAAAGCGCGAGAAAACGCGGGAAAACGCGGCCGACCAAGGTTTGATTGGTTTCAATTTTGAATCTGATTGGTTGAGAAAAGTGGTGCAGGTTTTCCAAACCAATCACAAAGCTGACAAAGTTGTGACTGGTTCCAGTTTTGAATCTGATCAGTTGAGAAAAGTGGTGAAGGTTTTCCCAACCAATCACAAAACTGACAAAGTTGTGACTGGTTCCAGTTTTGAATCTGATTGGTGGAAAAAGTGGTGCAGGTTTTCCAAACCAATCACAAAGCTGACAAAGTTGTGACTGGTTCCAGTTTTGAATCTGATTGGTGGAGAAAGTGGTGCAAGCTTTCCAAAGAGAAGTAAAGCAAAAATAAAGCAATTCCGATTTACTCTCGACGCTTAATTGTAAATTGCTTTATAATGCAATCCTACCTAATGGAGCTGTTGGACACAGGATGTATGATGGTACAACAGTCACCGATAAGTTTCCACAGGCATGCAAGGCCAGGCTTGCAATGTACAGCTCTGTTCAAAACAAGAAGAAAATAAAATATAAAACTGATATGCGATCTTTCTGCTTACTTTTGCAAGCAGACAGGTCCACCTGCGGGCGTCTGAAAAGCGAAGTGTGCTCCATAAACCAAATATGTTTCATCTACGCCATTAACAGGATATGTGAAAATTGTCTGCAATGAGCTAAAAACAAAATAACTTCCCCGCCCGAATAAGGTCGTACAATTACCGTAAACAGAATGCAACAACGAGCAAAGGGAGGGCGGATAAAAGTAAGGTTATTAGGGATTTAATTGGTATGTGATTCCTGAGTATCGCAAACTCAACAGTAATGTGTCACCAATTTTGTCGCTGTTTTTTTTTTTCTTTGAAAAACTAACTAGAGTCCCCCCTGGGTGTCCGCTTTATAGACATTTGTAAAATGAAACTGAAATTTTACCTTTCATTGCAGGAACATAATCATGTTGCATCTCCAGAATCTGTTTATATTCTTTGATTGCCTCACTATGGACACACAATAACTGTTTAATGGCCGCCAACCTGAGGAAAGATTTCCAAAAACCCGATCAGAGTTAGGTTGGACCAGGGCGGAGACAGGCTGGGCGATGAAACGAGTGCGGGGTCCGAGTAAAAAGGTATGATGCAGTCCACTACGACCGAGTTCAAACAAACACTGGCTCGTGCCAGTTCTACTCTGCATCACACATTGCACGAAAAGCGGACCGCTCGTTTCATCGCCCAATCTCTCTCCGCCCTGGTTGAACCTCTTACTACCCCAGCGCGAGTGACGTCATTCCCAGATATCTACCGTATCTGGATCCAATTTCATCAAGAAATAACTATCGATGAAGCACATTTAATGAATAACTTCACTCTCATTAACCATTTTCAGTTGTAAACAATTACAACATACTTCACACCACTTCCAAACGCAATCCTGTCCACAAAATTGCATTGAAACACAAAACATGCGAAATGACATAAACTGCTTTCATTTTAAGGGACTACGGATCAAAAACTTGCATTGCGCATACTTACTGGTAAAGGCAGTAGAGCGACGATGGGTCAAGCTGTAAATATGCAACGATATCATGATTATGTTGAACCATAACAAGTTCAAATAAAATTATTGACTGACTGATCGACTTACTTATGGACTGACTGACTGAGAGGCTGACTGATTCAATGACTGACTGACTGACTGACTCACAAGCTGACTCACTGGCTGACTGACTGACTGACTGACTGACTGACTGACTGACAGAGTGACTGACTGACTCACAAGCTGACTCACTGACTGACTGACTGACTGATTGACTGATAGAGTGACTGACTGACAGAGTGACCGACTGACAGAGTGACTGACTGACTCAAGCTGACTCACTGACTGACTGACTGAGTGACTGACTGACTGATTGACTGAGTGACTGACTGACTCAATGACTGACTGAGAGTGACTGACTGACTCACAAGCTGACTCACTAACTGACTGACTGACTGACTGACAGAGTGACTGACTGACTCAATGACTGACTCACAAGCTGACTCACTGGCTGCCTCACTGACGGACTGACTGACTGATTGCCTCACTGACTGACTCACTGGCTGCTTCACTGATTGACTCACTGACTGACTGACTGACTTACTCACTGATTGACTCACTGACTGACTGACTGACTGACTGACTGACTGACTGACAAGCCGACTCACTGGCTGCCTGACTGACTGACTGACTGACTGACTTACTCACTGATTGACTCACTGACTGACTGACTGACTTACTCACTAATTGACTCACTGACTGACTGACTGACTCACTCACTGTTTGACTCACTGACTGACTGACTGACTGACTTTCTCACTGATTGACTCACTGACTGACTCACTGACCTACTTACTCACTGATTGACTCACTGACTGACTTACTCACTGATTGACTCACTGACTTACTCACTGACTGACTTACTCACTGATTGACTCACTGACTGACTGACTGACTGACTGACTGACTTACTCACTGATTGACTTACTGACTGACTGTAAGACCGACTGACAGATTGATTGACTATGTAACGAATTAACTGCTGAATTACTGCCTACCTGACGGAAAGACAGATTAACTGGCCAACTGTCAGAGCAAGACAGACTGACTGACTGACTGGCTGTTCACCGACTGATTGAGTAATGCATTAATCAAAAAGACTTGGAAGAAACCTAGTGTTTTCTAAGAAGGGTTACAGAACAATGATACTTAAGGTTATTTTTACGTTACTACAATTTATTATATAGATACTGATGAAATACCAGGATTTCTCCTTTTACTAAAAGATCATATCTTCACCGTGCACAGTGAAGATACTATTTTTATCTTTCACGCGTGTAGATATTGGTGTGGCCATGGTTACCAACATAATTACCCAATTGTTGTTTCGAAAATGAATAAAAAAAGTTGTCTTTTAAGTGGAAATTTCATCAGTATCTATATAATAAACAGAACATTACATGGCCGCTTGGGGATACAAATTTATCTCCTCGTGCTGAAAGTATCTCTCACGAGTGAGTGCTGCGAACAAGTGAGAGATACTTTCAGCACGAGAAGATAAAATTCGTCTCCCCGTGCGGCCATGTAATATCCTCTATATATTTCACGGTTAAAAATCATGAGCGGAAAGTTCAAACCTCAGAAGCTTTTGTAAAAGCCTTCATAGCCGCCATGTAACTTCCTCGACTCATATATGCTTCACCAAGACATTCCCAGCAATGCCTAAAAGACAAATGAAAACAACAGCAAAAAAAATTCTTTAGCAACCAAACATCAGTCTGCATATTCTCCACACGGTTTCCTAAGGTGCGGAAAAGGGAGAATTTGTTCAACAATCAAGAGCGTCATTGGTTGGTGATCATTTCTGTTAATCTCGTGACCTCAATGTTTGATTCTGAGGTGTTATTGTAAGGAGAAATTAGATGCTAGTCACTCTTAGCTGAATGAAAATCAGAATGTTCCACTGTACTTGCGACCTACCTGTCTTTAAGATCAGCTCTTAGGGCACTCTGAAAACTTT